GACCAGGCTCTGCATAGGTGACCTCCCACCCCCACATCACGCCCAGGGGAGGGCCTTCGGGGACCTGTCCCCCCACAGTGGAGGAATGGAAAGCAGCAGCACTCACATTTCTGTGGAGACCAAGCTGGGCTCCCTGCAGTACTCGGCGTCCTCACCCATCTTCACTTCATAGGTGTCCTCTCGAGAGGCCTCCTGGCACACCATGGCGAGCTGGCTCTCCCGGGAGTGGCACCTGCAGGTCCAGGATGGGAAGGGGTCAGCGTCGGCCAGCCGCCTTCCCTGGCCTCAGCCCGGAAGGAGCCGCGCACACACGCACCCACACGCGTGACACACCCCACACGCACACACACTCCACACGTGTACACACACGCTCACCCACAGATACACACACCAGCATGCACGCACACCCCTGCACCCACACAGGCACACGCATGTACACCCATGTACGCACAGGCACCACCACCCGCCTCTCTCTCCTTCCCGCCGTCGCTGACGGAGCGGGGGGCCACGGGAGCGCCTTAGGTTTGGTGGAGGAGAGGGGCCCCGGGCTTAGGATGCAAGAGCTCTGAGCTCTGACCCCATTCAGTCACCCCGGCTAAGGCACTCGGCCGCCGCCTGTTTCTCGGACGCCTGCCCTGCCTCACTCGGAGGCTGCCTGCAAGCGGGCAGATGGGATGAGGCATGGGGGGAGGGCTGCGCTGCAGAGGTGCTGGGCTGTGCCCCAGATGGCGGGGTGGCCCCGAGAGGGCGCCCCCTTCCCTCCACTGCGGCCAGCTGGGCCTCGGGCACGCACTGCACAGAGGCGAGGCGCTCCTGGCACATTCTGACAAGCCTCTGACTTTGGCACTGGGCCCCGGGCGGAGCACAGAGGAGCCGCACAGAGAGGGCTTTGTTCTCCTGAGGGGGCGCGAGCTGGAGCCCCTGCCAAGCTTGAGGCGCCCACGCCCCGCGAGTGCCTTGGGCTGGGCTGCGTCCGTCTGAGCCAGGCTTTCTGCCACTTTGTTCCTATCTTCTTCTTCTTTTTTTAAAAATTCTTTTAAATATATATTTTTAAAGATTTATTTATTTATGCATACAGAACTGGGGTACAGGCCAGAGGTGCAGGGGCTCTGAAAAGCTTTACCAGAGACAGAGTGGGGAGCAGAACAGGCAGACTCACAAAGCACACTGCTGAGGGGAGCAGCGGGTGGCTCAGGAGAGGTCTGCCGCGCCCTGTGGGTCACCTCTGGGGCCGGGGATTGAACTCACACTGAAGTGGCTGCGGCCAGCTTGCAGTGCTGCGCCCTGACCCGTTGCGCCACCAGGGAGGACCCTGTTCCTGTCCTCTTCAGCGCTGGCCTCGGAGCTCCCAGCCCCCACTCTAGCTGCAACCCTCCAGCTTCCTTCCTACAGACCCTGAACGCCGAGGCCTGATTTCTCTTCAGATCCACGTGGGCATCGGATTAAAACACTGGTTTATCCTCTCGGGACTGAGTGCTGGATCATGTCCCCACCTGGACTCTGGGCCTGGGAGCCTCAGGAATGGGGGCCCAGACAGAAGGCGGCCACCCCACAGTCTGCAAGGCAGGTGAGGCCTGAAGGCTCTCGCGGGTGGGGCCCAGGAGGGCTCTGGCAAGGTGCAGGGCACGGGCATCCAGGCAGGCAGCCCACTCCCTTCTGGGGGCCGCTGCGAGCAGGACGGGATGGCCCGTCCTCAGCAAGAGCAAGGTCAGTGCGGGAGCCACCGCTCGGCCGTGAGGGCCCTGCAGCCAGGACGGGCGCGCTGTTCTCTACTCAGCTCCCTGCCCCGGGCGCCTTTACCCTCCGCGAAGGGCGGGGAGCCGATGTTTAGTGAGCACGTACTTTGTGCAAGGACCGTGCACCCATTTCGTGGGTGCACGTGTCTGTGGGGAGAAGCAAAGAGTCTCCTGCCTCCTGTCTAAATGCCCCTCTCTTACCGAACGCAGGGTAGAGTTTATTATGAAAATACCCGCTGAGGGAGGCACTCGTCTGTCCTGAGACACGGACACGGAGAGCCTTTCTTAAGATGTTTGAGAAGATGTGCTGGGGGCAGATGGTACTGGCAGACAGTACCATGGATGAGGGGCAGGGGCGGCAGACAGAGGAGGGGTGTGTAGTCACCTAACTCCGACACTTTCCTCGGCAAAGCCTGCAGCACCCCGAATTCAGCGCGAGCACACTGCCCTATGCATAACAAAGGATTCACCCAGCAACGCTTTTGGGGCGCCCGGCTCATCTCCCAGAGGGTAAGGTAGGCAGACGGCCAGTTTGCTCGCCTGCCCTCGGCACCTGCGCGGCCTGACGGGCTTCCAATTGCTCCCTGAGACGTGGGTGTCGCGAGGGGCAGTGACATGGGGTGCACAGACGTGCTGCCTCCTGGGATGGAAGCAGCTTCAGGACTGAGAAAGACACTCACACTTCTCAATTTGTTTTCTGAGCTGCAGGGAAGGAAAGGAGATCTTCCCCGGGCCCGGGGGTGCTGGGGCCAGCCTGGCCGGCCTGGGGCCCTGCTCGGCAAGAGCAGCTACACCAAGGGCGAAAATGAGGAGGAAGCTGTCTGCCCCCTCCAGCACGGCCTGGGCCGGGGCTGCCGTGTGGGCAGGGAGAGCCTGGAGGCCCCGGCTGCCCCAGGCCCAGCGCGCAGAGGCGGCACCTCCCGTCCCAGCACACCCTAGCAGAGCATCCTGGAGCAAGAAGAGAGTGAGCGGGGTTCGGGGTGGGGGGT